TGCGCGCGCGCAGCCGGGCTCGAACCGGCGACCTTCGGGATGCGAAGCAGAAACTTTACCAACTGACCTGGGGCGCCCCCCTATTGTTGACGCCGACGTTGTGCATGAACAATTACCGTAACAATTGTATTCGAGTTTCTTATACGCAAGTTGGCGTTTTTTGTGGACAAAACCGTTTGTGTCGATTATCAACTTTGCATCAATACATTATCAAGTGATTCGCAAGCCAATAGATAAACACGAGTGATCATTGTAAAACAAGAATATTGATTGGCCCACGGGCAAATTGATAGTGCATTTCTGCCTTGCAGATCAGTTGATAATATTTTGTCAAAATGCGGCCTTGGCGGGTGCAGTGCCACTGACGCATTTGCCACCGACAACTCAAGACATTGCATGGCGCTGACGAAAGAAGAGGTAGCGTCAGCAACATGGCCATGAGCACACTCTTACCCTATGCTACGGTGGCAGCGACAGCTACGTGATGCGGCACTTAGTGGCAACACGGCGACCGTCCGGCGCCTCGTTCTGAACGGGGTCAACCCAAACTGCTTTGGAGAAGTACGCTCTGCGTCTCCTAGTATACCATAGTATGACTGTAAGCATAGTCGCGCCGAGGTCCATTGCACGAGGCGATTATCCAAGGCCACATGGACATCGTTCGCATCTTGATCACCGCCGGAGCCGACGTCAACATGTTGGCCGATGTGCGTCCACCACGCAACACAATCTGTACTGATGCATCCAGGATATAGAACCGATACACGCCGCTGCGCTTTGCTGCTTCTTGCAATCGCAAGGCCATTGCCAAGCTGCTTTTACTGGCGGGCGCCAATGCCAGCGCCAAGTCGCGCGTATGAAAAACTGCATGATGTATATTCCTCCGCGAGATGGTGACATGCGTGTGTCGCTAGGCGAAAAAGACGCCATTTCACTATGCCAAAGAAAAATCCTACGGCGACGTGGCGGAGCTCTTGGCAGAGCACATGCGGCGGCAGACGGAGGCCAAGGTACACACCTTGACGACCCATTATCGTGCGGATCACCAAGCAATATCCAATATCCAATAGCTTATGGAAGCGGTCAAGCGACGTGCCATTCCGGACGCGATGGCGATTCTCTTGAAGACGCCGCGATCCGAGTGCACAACACCGAGTGCGTCCGCGGCATAAACAGGTAATCACGCTCCATCCAGGCATTCCAACCATTCCTTCGTGGACGCAGAAATGTGTGCATTGCGTCAACAGCACCAACGAGACCGAGATCCAGCTGCCCGTGATCGACCCCAACGTTCGAGATCGGGTACACAATGGATCCCCGGGGTGTGCAGGTGCAATGTTCGATCTAGCGTGGTGCCCCGCTCATCATTCGCATCCTCGAGACGGGCGATACGAAGCTGCTGCAAGCGCTCGTTGCCAACCCACTTTTCAACGTCGATGCTCGCGACGAGCGCGTAATGAAACAAGTCGACCTACATGCCCTCACGCGGTGTAGACCAACGACTCGGCTCTCGGACGCGCCATCGCCACAAAGGCCAAAGACGCCGTGTCGCTCTTGCTCCAAGCCGGAGCGCGGCTCGAAGAGGTCATCTTTCTTCTCCATATGTTGCACCAACGCTCAACGCATTCTTGTGCAGGACCAGGTGACCACGTTGGTCCAAGTGCTCGGCTCTGTTCGTGACCCACTGATACACGCTGTGAGAGCTGGCAACACTGTGTTTGCTCTTCTGCAAGCGGCCACGACAGAGGTTGTCTTGCGATAGCTCTATGCAAGGTCGTCTTGAACGCACGGTGTACAGGATGTCGACGCCGCGCGACGAGAAGCCATCACAAACGGTCGCGATGTGATTGCAGCCGGACTGACCCAAGATGGCTCGCATCGCCTCGGCTCGTCCATGCGCGCAAAAATCACCGAGGTTCTGAATCTCTCTCAAGAAATTTTGTGACAGAGGTGTTGCAGATGCTGGCTACGGCGGTGCAAAAGGGTGTTTACACCGAGGTATCGATGATCTTAGGAGCTTCACTGCACTCAATCATGTACTTGTTCAGGCAGACAAGACGGCGCTGCTGCAATCGCTTGGACAGACGCCCGCCCAACTCCAGCACGAGGTTGCGCCTACTTTGATCCCGTCAGTGGTGGCTAGATTGGAGGTAGATGGCCCAAACGATCCTGGTGGCGGCAGTGACCTGCGACCATGTACCACTGGTGATCGAGCTACTCCAAGCTGCATCGTCTCGACCTCTCAACACGGTCTCTTCGGTACAACACAACACATCAACTTGCGCTCTAATGTCTTTACATCCAGAACGGACCGTCGCCGCTGCACGTGGCTGCGAAAACTGCTTCGATGGGGATGCTATACGTGCTGCTCACCCAGGATCTTGCCAACATCAACGCAACAAACGAGGTATACCCGCCACTTCCTCATCTTTCGTGATCTCAGGTGAATGGGATGCAGGAAGGGTACACGCCATTGGCCATTGCGGTCCAAGAAGGCCGATCTGACGTCGCTGCCTTGCTTCTCAGCGTCGGCGCAGACATCTCGACGCAGTTATCGGTAAGTTCTGTGGAGACACGTGGTATCCCATGGACAAGTGGTGTAGGACCACGCACCACTGCTGCACCTCGCGATTACGACCGGCAGTAGTCTACATCTTCTGGACCTTTTCTTGTCGGCTCCACGCGTCGACATCAACCAAACAGACAAGGTTCGCAATTATGCTTCAGAATCTTGAGCTTCGATGCATCGCCACTTAGGATGGGTATACCGCGCTGGCAAAGGCGGTCGTCATGGGCCATGAAGCTGCGACCACCCGTCTTGTCGAGAAGGGAGCTGATGTGTGGACCCTTTTGCCTGTACAGTACATCATTGCTCTTGCAGTTCATTTACTGATGTACTATTCTGTCGTAGAATGAGCAGACGCTGTTGGCAGCGGCCATCCAGCACCACCAGCACGCGATCGCATCGGTGCTCTATGCGCGCATGTACCCAGGACCGACACAGGTACTTTTTGAATGCAGCGATGACGCAGTTTGAGCATGTCTTGCAGGCTTCCATCTTGGACATCACGATTGTCGATTGCATGGCTCGGCAGCGAAACGGCGTCGTCGTCTACAAGGCCACGTACGCAGGCAAGACGGTCGTGCTCAAGGGCCCACAGTTTCCCACCAAGCGGGTTGTTGACGCCATGCGCAACGAGGCGCGAGAGATGCAAGGGTACAACATATCGTCATTTAAAGAAAAAGGAGGTTGACGCAGGTGTGGGTAGGTGTACGTCGCCGTACGTGCAGCCGCTGATTGGCATCCTTGACAATGGCTCGTCGGCACCGCTGGTGACGCCCAGCGGTGACGCGCTGTACAGCCCGACGATGGTCATCGAGTACATGGACGGCGGGGATCTTCACGAGACGCTGGAGAAGACACGCTTGGGTCTCGACGTTGTCCTGCACGTCTCAATCAGCGAGGTTGCCCTCGTCCTCGCGTATGCGCTGCGAGATTTGCATGCCCTTGGCAAGGTGCACCGGGACGTCAAGAGTCACAATATCTTTCTCTCGTCGTCGTACTACATTCGACTCGGCGATCTCGGCTCGGCGCGGACACTCGATGGCTGCATGACGTCGAACGTCGGCACATCGCTTTGGATCGCACCCGAGGTCGCTCGCGCCGGCGCCGGCGACACGGGGCGGTCGTATGGTCCGCCTGCTGACATTTACTCGTTTGGCGTTGTCCTCACCGAGCTCGACACGCGCGAGACGCCGTACGCAGACGTCCAAGACCAGAGTTTGATTCCTGGTCAAGTGCGCGACGGTAAACTGCGCCCGAAAATGAGCGCCACTTGCGCGCCGTGGCTTCAAGCGCTCGCCGATCAGTGCTTGGCGACGAATCCCGCCGATCGCCCAATGACCGTCGATATCATTGCGACTTTACTCGCCCATCGTCATGACGACACGAAAACGGCGGCCCCGCCATGACGAATGCCAAGCCCCTTGGCCGCCACAGGCCCCTTCATCGTTGTTTCTTTTTCCTGTGACCATGGCACATGGCGCCATTGCCCATATACTGAATTCATACAATTGTCCACATTGTATTGTTATGCTATTTGGTACTTTGCACACGAACGCAAGTTATAAGAAAAAGATTTTGTTTAAAAGGCGATATTGTTAGACATTGCTCTTGATTCTATTCAGGTGACCAGCCATTCGCTCGTACCTGATACTTGGTTTGATGCATTCACTGCCCCATCCATCAGCTTGCAACTGCCTGTCGTCCGCGGTCGACGACAGGCAGTGGGCGGGATTCCGCGGGTCTACGGTACTCGCATTAATACCGACCTCGGATGCTCGACGTCGATACCGGAGGCACTTTAAAAAGACGCAGTAGGGCTTGAAGGTCGCTACGAGGCACGTGGATTAGTTGAGCACCAGTCACCTCTTGACGCACCTCGCAGGCGGGCGAAGAGGCACAATGACGTCATGCTTCAGAATTGATCTTAGGTTCCCCTAAGGAGTTCGTCACTACCCGTCATGGGGCTCGTTGGCAAAAGCTGGAATGACTACCGACATACAAGCATGATTTGGCTCGGATAAGATGCGACCGTCTGCACGGTTGCAGATCTGAATCGACAACGCGATTGGCTCTTTTTGTTCACGCTGTGTTATGATTGGTACGCAATAAAACCGACGAGCCAATTGAATTGCTTCGTTCCTCTTTTGAGGTAAAAGCAGCCAATCCACGGCGGCCGACGTGGCAGCCTGGCTTTGCGTCCTTGACGTTGGGATTCATTTCTGGTCGTTGGACGCAGCTGCCAGCGGCTGGTTCTATGCCAGCCACGTTGGCAGCCTCTGCCAGTCAATGGCCTTCGAGTAACTTTCGCAGTTCCTTCGTCGTACACCAAGTCCACATATAAGTATACAGAGCAGTGGCTGTGAGCCAAACGACCAAGATCGATGGAACACAAAAACTTAAGGAGGACGTTCGAACATAGTACTAGTGTCTGCAAGTCGGAAACGATCTCTCAAGACATGGGTGCTACTGGATAAACTTGCAGGCCGTGGCGCCCATGTCGTCGTGCACGGTCGTGGCGTTGGCGGGGACGCTCTTGAAGAAGCACGTGCCAAAGTTCGGGTTGCCCGGCATCTGCACAAACGTGACGGCGTTGCAGTTCTTGCCGCCCGACGTGTAGTACTGGCATCGGTCGAGGCACCGGGTGAAGCGCGTCTGCGTGTTGCCAATGTCGAAGCCGTAGTAGTTGGCGTTGCCGGCGCACGTGTACTTGGTGTTGTCAAACTTGGCCGCGCTCTTGCACTCGGGGTCCATCTTGTACGTGTAGACGGTCGAGAGCACGAGGCACTCGGCCGTCTTCTCCTTCCAGACGGCATACCACCGGCCGCGGGCCACGGCTTCGGCGACGCACGCCTCGAGCGTCGTGAGGTCTCGACGTCCGTGTCGCCTTGGCACTTGTCGAAGCAGACGCCGTCGGACGCCACGTAGCTCGACGGCAGCGTCGACGGCGAGTCGTTGCTCGGGATGCACTGCGAGTTCCACTCGTCCCAGGCCTTGCACGTGTTGCCGGCTGTGCACTTGGTCGAGCCGGTGTAGTTCTTCCCGCCACATTGGCCCCAAACGCCGACCTCGTTGTCACCGCCGGGCTGGCACTGCGAGAACCACTCGTTGATGAGCTTGCAGTAAAAGCCGCTCGTGCACGCCTTGTCGCCTTGGTAGTTCTTGCCGCCGCATTGGCCCCACGCGTCGACTTGGTCCGACTCGATGTGGCGAAAGTGGTTGAGCGGCGAGGCAGCCGCAAGCGCAAGGCCCGTCGTGAGGAGCGTGATCTTCATGGTAGCAGTGAGAAGACGAAGTGAGATCTTGCCTCAAGGCAGTGGACGGCGGCTGCGGATGGGGCGGCGCGTTGAAGTTGGTGTGATCGGCGCAGATTGAAAAATCGGTCATTTGGAAATTGCCCTCATAAAGATAGTGTAGACACTGTATATAGAGTAATGACACGGGGAACTGACACGTATTTAGCGTATCCTGCCCTGTACCTTAGGGAATGAGCATTCCAACCGAGCCAACACCGGAAAGCAGCCAATGAAAACGTAGCCCTGCTGTCGGCGGTACACTGCATATACAGTGTATGGTACACTGGCGAGTATTGGGTCGGAGATTTCGATGGTCCTGGCGCTTGATTCGGCGCGTGGTCCTGCCACCCGCCGTGCAGTGCTGGAGTCGCTGCAATTGAATCCGACTAACTAGAGTCGGGCGTGCTTTAACGAGCCAAGAGGTCCGGGCAAAGAGGTCGAGGTGAAAGGTGCGCAGAAAAATGGCACCGTTGCGTGAGATCGCACGCCAGGAGCAGCCACAAACGACCTTCGATTAGTATAACCCTTGGGTCCGCACGTGGCTACAAGCAAAGACCGACTCGGCACCCGCACCACCGCCAAGCCGGCACCAACTTCATGCACAAATTGAGGACGGCGTGACACCGTCAAGGAGCGGGGCCAATGCACAGCATGTGCTTTCAAGATGACGGGCACCCAGAGAGATCGTGTCCAGCTTCTATCGCTGGCAATACGCCGAAAAACGCTGTGCAACAATATGTTATAATATATTGATACATGATGCTTACGTTCTACTTGGTCATCTTGCAGGCTGTGGCACCGAGGTCGCTCTTGCCGGGCGTGGCGTTGGTGTCGATGAATTTGAAGAAGCACGTGCCGTAGTTCTGGCCAGGGTTCTGCACAAACGTGACGGCGTTGCAGTTCTTGCCGCCCGACGTGTAGTACTTGCACGAGTCGAGGCAGCGGCTGAAGCGCGTCTGCGTGTTGCCAATGTCATGGCCGTAGTAGTCGGAGTTACCGACGCACGAAAAGTTCTCCGAGTCAAACTTGGCCGCGCTCTTGCAGGCTGGGTTCATCTTGTACGTGTAGACAGTTGAGAGGACGAGGCACGTCTTGCCGTCCCAGACCGCGTTCCACTTGCCGCGGGCGTTGGCTTCGTTGACGCACGCTTCGAAAGATGTGATGCCCGAGGTCTCGACGTCCGTGTCGCCTTGGCACTTGTCGAAGCAGACGCCGTCGGACGCCACGTAGCTCGACGGTAGCGTCGACGGTGAGTCGTTGCTCGGGACGCACTGCGAGTACCACTCGTTCCAGGCCTTGCACGTGTTGCCGGTCGTGCATTTGGTGTCGCCCTTGTAGTCCTTGCCGCCGCATTGGCCCCAGATGCCGACTTGGCCGTCGCCGCCGGGCTGGCACTGCGAGTACCACTCGTTGATGAGCTTGCAGTAAAGCCGCTCGTGCACGCCTTGTCGCCTTGGTAGTTCTTGCCGCCGCATTGGCCCCACGCGTCGACTTGGTCCGACTCGATGTGGCGAAAGTGGTTGAGCGGCGAGGCAGCCGCAAGCGCAAGGCCCGTCGTGAGGAGCGTGATCTTCATGGAAACGATACGAATGAGAAGTGTGATCCTCCTCTCTGGAGGGCGGCTGCGGATCGGGCGACATTGAACTTGCTGCGATCGGCGCAGGATTGAAAAATCGGCCGATTGGGATATTCTCTCTTACAGTAGCTGTAAGCTCTGTAGACAGCAGAAAAAAGCGGGAGATTCGCCCATTTGGAGTCAATTCTGCCCAGTACTCTAGGGAATGAGCATTCCAACCGCCCACATTTGGCAGCCACTGGAAGCAGCCAATGAAACCGCAGCAGTGGTAGGCAGTACAGTGTATGGTACACTGGCGCGGATTGGGTCGCAGATTTCAGGCGCGGATATATGGTCCTGGCGCTCAATTTTGACGCTTGGTTCGGGCATCTGCCTTAAGGACGATCCATGCCGGCGATATTGAGTTCGACTAATGAGAGTCGTGCGGGCTTGAAACGAGCGACTCGGACGAAGCGGTCCAGGCAAAAGGTGCGCATAAAAACGGCCACTGTGGGCGGATTGTGGCGCAGCATGGGATCGGATCCACACGCCAGAACTACTGGCAGCCAAGGCCCGCCAAGATCGTCCAACGCTGGCGTTGTTCTCATTTTCCGTGCAGATGCCACGGGTGCTTATAGGGCCTTTCGCAAGCACTGCAGCCATGCAAGCAGGGGCTGCTGGAATGATTGCTGGAGCAAGCCGATCGAGAGGACAGGCGTGGTACTGTACGTACTGCACAGCAGTTCGCCACATGTCGCGCGCGGCTTGCCCGACGAATTGACTTCCTGAGGGCACCGCCTGTACCAGAATACATTTGGCACAGCTGCTTTGGACGGAACGAGGGCGGCGTGGATTGGCTTGTCGTCTTGAGCCCTCCGCGCTAAAGGGCAGAGCTGCGGTGCTGAACAAGCATCTTGACCGTGGCGATGGTATCCAGTCCGTCTCAAAGATACCTCTTTTCTCCAAAGTGTCGTAAAACGTGCGTTGCTAAATGGTCAAACTAATGGCACGCAACTTTACTGTTTTTTAATACCAGATGTTCTGGGCAGTGCATTTTGCGTATACAAAAACCAATAGAAAAGAGTACATCCAGCCAGCCAAGTCGATCAAGGAGAGAGTCTTGAGATATCCATCCGCACCAAGATCGCCATTGGTCAAGCAAGGAAGAGGCTTTGGGGTGGCGTCGTCACTTGCAAATCTCCTACGACCAGTACGTAGCCATGCACAGCAGCCTCTTCACGTCCGTTCTTCTCGCCGCCTCGGCGCAGGCCGCGCACGTCCACCTCCGCGACATCAAGGCGGCGCAGGTCGACGTCTGGAACCAGTGCGGCGGCAAGGAGTACCGCGGCGACACTGCGTGCACGAGCGGCAACTACTGCAAGGTCATCAACGAGTGGTACTCGCAGTGCCAGCCCGGCGGCCAGAGCGAGGTCGGCGTCTGGGGCCAGTGCGGCGGCAAGAACTACAACGGCGCGACCAAGTGCACGTCCGGCAACACGTGCAAGGTCTGGAACGAGTGGAACTCGCAGTGCGTCCCGAGCAACGACCAGCCCGCGACCGCGCCGCTCAACTGGGCGCAGGTCGACGGCGTCTGCTACAACAAGGTCGAGGGCGACAAGGACACGACGACGAGCGGCATTTCGTCGTACGAGGCGTGCATCAACGAGGCCGACAAGCGCGGCAAGCTGTACGCCAACTGGAAGGACAACACGTGCACGGTGCTCTCGACTGTGTACTCGTACACGCAGGACTCGCACTGCAAGGGCGCGGCCAAGTACAACCTCGAAAAGTACACGTGCGCCGGCAACACGGACTTTTACGGCAGCGACATTGGCCAGGCGCAGACGCGCTTCGACCGGTGCCTCGACGAGTGCGACTACTACGAGTCGGGCGGCCACAAGTGCAACGCGTTCATGTGGGTGCGCAACCCCGGCAGCGAGTTTGGCATCTGCTACTTCAAGTCCTTTGACGACTTCAACCGCAAGCCGTCGACGAGCTGGCTCGGTGGCATCTCGTGCAAGCGCAACCCCAAGTACATGCAGCACTAAGACATAAACGACTTGCGTTTTTTTGCTGTCCTCCCAGTGCGGTCTAGAGATCTTGCACTCGTAAGTACACCTCGGTCATCCCGAAGCGGCGACTTGCGATGCATTTCTGGGGGAATCTTTGGTCGATCATGTTGTTCTCGCCCTTATTGGAGTGGAGTGCCTGGTGCTGCCACGTCATCCGGATACTGCGTCCACCACACACGCCGATCAAAACTGAACGTAAGAGAATGACAACAAGCCATTGTGGGCAAAAGGGCATGTATGTTGGTAGACGTTATAAGTTTTCGTCAAAGCAGCCTCAAAATCCGCTGCGTTTACTGCGACGAGGCAGGCAGGCGGTTGCACGCAATCGCGCCGAGGTCGTTGATCGACGGGCGCTTGTTCCGGTCGTCAAACGACTTGAAGAAGCAGACGCCGTACTCGCTGCCAGGGTTGCGCACCCACGTCGCGGCGTTGCACTTCTTGTCGCCGTCTCTAAAGTTCTCACACGAGTCGAGGCACCGGTCAAAGCGCGTCTGCGCCTGGCCAACGTCGTTGCCCCAAAAGTCGTGGTTGCCCGAGCACTGCCACTTGTCGAGGTTGTACTTGGCCGCGCCCTTGCACGCCTTGTCGAGCGTGTACGAGTAGACGGTCTGCAGCACCGTGCATTGGTTGTCCTTCCAGGTGGCGTAGAGCTTGCCGCGTTTGCTGGCTTCAGCAATGCACGCCTCATACGACGAAATGCCGCTCGTCGTCGTGTCGTTGTCGCCGTCCACCATGGTGTAGCAGACGCCGTCGACTTGGACCCAGTTGAGAGGCGGCGAGACGTCCGAGCCCCCCGAGACGGGCGCGGTCGTCGCGCTGCCAGGAATGCACTGCGAGTACCACTCGTTCCAGGCCTTGCACTCGTTGCCGGACGTGCACTGGGTCGCGCCCTTGTAGTCCTTGCCGCCGCATTGGCCCCAGACACCGACTTGGCCGTTGCCGCCGGGCTGGCACTGCGAGTACCATTCGTTGATGACCTTGCAGTAGTTGCCGCTGCCACACGCCTTGTCACCGTTGTAGTCCTTGCCGCCGCATTGGCCCCAGACGTCGACGACCTTGGTTTCGGCTTCAAGCGTGTCCGCGACAACGGCCGACGTGAGCGCGAGGATGAGCGCAGCCTTCATGGTACTGGGCGAGGCGAGGGAAATTGAAAAGTGACGAGTTGGGGTGATGGATCGCGACCGAATGTTCGAATCGAGGCCGACGCTTGGAGGCGTCACGGGAGGACGCGGCAATAAGCTCATGACTGGTCACCGAGTCGACACTACGCGTCGAAATCGAACGATAGGGCACCCGACGCACTAATTCTTCGATTGCCGAGCTACGACTTGAATTCCCAACATGCCAACGCGAACCCGTCTCTGTAGCGCCATTGTCCTGGATAACAAACGATCTTTCCCATGAAGCTACATATCAACTACTGAGTAGAAAACTTCGGCGCGAGATCACGTAAAAAGACACGGGTGTGGATATGTTGATGGCTACGTCGTTGCAGAGGTTCGTCATGACGAGGATGGATACCTGGTAACGATTCACATAAATGACACTCTTCTTGACTATTCTTCACTCGGTGTACGCTGCTTGCTGTTGGAATGGACGGTCGCTAGTACCATGTGACCGGCTTTGTCTATGGTGCTGCCACGTCATCCGGATAAAGTGCTTGCATTGCGAACGTGTCTTGCAACTTTGTCGGGCTGAAAAGTGGCAGACTGATCCGTCGAAGAGATCGTGGGTATGAAAGAACATGTAGTTAGTCGTTGGGTTATCGTCCATGCGGCCTCAAAATGTGCTGCTTCTTTACGAGCGGCGGGCGCACGCCGTCCCGCCAATATCGTCGACGAACGGGGCCTTGCTCGTGTCGGGAATGTACTTGTAGTTGCAGACGCCTTTGTCGCTGTCCCAGTGCTGCACCCAGTACACGGCGTTGCACTTCTTGCCACCCTCGCTAAAGTTTTCGCACGCGTCGAGGCACTGGTCCAAGCGCGTCGTCGACTTGCCGACGTCGTTGTTCCAGTAGTCGTGGTTGCCCCAGCACTTCCACTTGTCGAGGTTGTACTTGGCCGCGCTCTTGCACGATCGGCTGAGCCGGTACGAGTCGGCGTCCTGGAGCACCGTGCACTCGCGGGTTTGGTCGTCCCAGTTGGCGAACTTCTTGCCGCGCTTGTTGGCTTCAATGATGCACGCGTCGAACGACGTGATGCCATTCGCCACCGTGTCGCTGTCGCCGTCCATCGGGTTGTAGCACACCGCGTCCGATTGCAGCCAGTTGAGGGGGACCGCGACGTCCTCCGGAGGCGCCGTCGTCGGCGTCGCAGTGCCAGGGACGCACTGCGAGTAGTAGTCGTTCCAGACCTTGCACTCGTTCCCGGGCGTGCACTGGGTGTCGCCATCGTAGTCCTTGCCGCCGCATCGGCCCCAGAGACCGACTTGGCCGTTGCCGCCGGGCTGGCACTGCGAGAACCACTCGTTGTAGAACTTGCAAAACGAGCCGCTGGCACACGCCGTGTCGCCGTTGTGGTACTTGCCGCCGCACTGGCCCCAGACGTCGACGACCTTGGCTTCGGCTTCAAGCGTGTCCGCGACAACGGCCGACGTGAGCGTGAGGATGAGCGCAGCCTTCATGGTAATGGACAAGGCGAGGGAAATTGAAATGTGATGCAGATTGCAGCGGCGGGAGCTTTGAAGACGCGTCGGCTGGAACGATAACTGGAATTTTTGGCTGAACCGAACCCCTCGCGCAATGTTCTAGGGAACATTTTTGGCTAAAGGCGCCGCCGGCACCTATCAACGTCTGCGAAGCAACAGTCGGCAGCGCTGGTTCGTCGTGTTCGCACACGCCGCAGCATGTCGGAGCAGCATCCGAGTACACGAATGCCTCTGCTACATGCATGCCTACGAGTGGAATGGTTCGTGTCGTACCGGTATCCGGATAGTACTGGCCAGCAACTGAGTCTCCCATCGCTGGTGTCCAGTGCTGCCACGTCGTTTGTGGGGCACCCACGATTGCGGGAAGCGCGCATTTTGATTGATGGATCCTATCCGGATGCAACTTGCGAAGTTGAATACTTGAGGACGCGTTCATCAGCACTTCGCTCCAAGTACTGGTACTACATAGAGTACGTCGGCTTCACGACGCTGCGGTGGAGCTGAATTGCGGCGACCAAGTGATGATAGCAGCTGGCATGTGCCGATCGTGCGCTGGCGATCTTAAAATGGGCCAATCACATGCGCGGCCGCACTTCAAGCACAACCTGGACGTCATATGCCTGGACGTCAGGGCAGGCACACGAGCAGCAGTGCAGGATGTGTCGAACGGTCTGTGTGTGGTCAGCAGCTGATAGCACCTGACGTGGCGCCAGATGGCCCTTCACATTGCAATTTGCTTTCTCGCGCACAGAGCATGAAGATCGCTAGTACCGTCGCTTTGCTGGCCGCGTCGGCGTCGGCCATCCACGTCCGGAGCGCCTCGAACGCCCACGTGAGCGTCTGGGGCCAGTGCGGCGGCAAAAACCACAGCAGCGACACAACGTGCGCCACCGGCAGCTACTGCAAGGTCATCAACGAGTGGTACTCGCAGTGCCAGCCCGGCGGCAACGGCCAAGTCGGCGTCTGGGCCCAATGCGGCGGGAAGGACTACAAGGGCGACACGACGTGCACGGCCGGCAACACGTGCAAGGCCTGGAACACCGACTACTCGCAGTGCGTGCCCAGCGACAATGACGGCAAGAAGGACAACACCAGTGGTGCGCTGCCCGCAGGCTGGCTCGAGCTTCCGGGTCTCAAGTGGACGCTTCTGGACAACGACCTGGCGACGACGGACGACAAGAGCTTCGCCGACTGCGTCCAGTCGGGCACCAAGCCTGCGACCGACGGCATGACGCGCTTCTTCGCGGTCTGGGACTCGACCAAGAAGGTCTGCCACGTCGCGTCGACGGTGTACA